ACACTATTAATTACACTTTTCAAGTCATCAACGAAACATATTGACACTTAAAAATGATGTATTTTATATAAAATAATGCGAGTTGTGTTTAAAAATTGATAACTTCGTTAAAAAATCGGCTTAATCAAACGATGTCAATATTTTAACAATTTTGGTTCTCTGCCCTACGCTTAGCCGAAGTCCAGATTCAAGTTCATATGATATTAATAACAGAATTTCGGCCACAAGCGGCCTCGGCTTATTTAAGCGTCAGTACTAGGTTTTGTGTTGGTATTGTATTAAATGCAGTGTCTCAACCGCCAGCGACCTTGGCTTTAGTTGCTGAAATCACATATTTTTTGCCATAAATTAAACCTTATCTAGGTTATATGATAGTCATTGTAGAGATGTTATAGTTTTTCAGAATCATATATTTTCTGGCATAACTTCGTTACCATATGTTATAAGAATTTAAATAAAACTCAACACTTAGTTGTTTTCATCGTAAAGCGTTTTGATATAATTAATCCATAATGCTAATGTGTCGCTAAACTATAATATAAATAGATTACTCTTTACTCTTTGAAGCAAAATATATCGATTTTTTTGACTATTTATTTGTTACACTAATTAAGATAATCAAGGATTGACTTAGAAAGCTAATTTGATGCAAATTTGGACAGTACGACCACTTTTACGGTTCGTTGATCTCTAAAAAGATAAACTTAACATTGAGTAATTTCCAACGCAATTAGCGAGCACATCGACGCAAACATGTCTCTGCAGCGAGGATCTAAATAGATTACTCTTTAGTCTTTGATGCAGAATGAAGCGAATTGGTTAAAGTAAGGCTCGAGAGCTTTCTGTAGTATAAATGCGAGCGCATCAAAAAACTTGTTAGAGAATTTTATTAGAGTAATGCAATATTTTTCTTCCGGGGAAAATTTTTCTGTTTCTGGTATGCTTTGTATACATTTTACACATTCTCTAGGTCCACCTTAAAAATACACAACGAGCTTTTTATTTACTTATTTTATATTTACATTCTAGGTAATTTTATTCCAAAGTCACTTCAATCTAATGAAATATATTTCATCAAACACACCAATATTATTTGAATTTAAATTTTAATTTGATTCTAAATTACAATTGTAAAAAATTTCCAATTTTCTACATCGTATCCGAAGAGGTATAAAACGAGAAGGAGGTCGCCGGGTAACGTTTACGTTTACGTACCGTCGTTTTAAGCTCCACTTCCGCTTTTTAAATTCTAAACACTCAAATCTCATTAGGTATGGTAACGACCATTGCGTAGCTTATTTCGGGAGGGTCCGTAATGAATCCCCACGCGATTCCTTTGGACAAAAGGGGGAAATACATTTCCCCGCGTGGCCTCCGAGGGGCCAGATAAGGGCATAAAAAGTTGCGAAAGTGTCACTTAGTTTACAAGTCGGGTTTTTTTGGGTCTGGAGACGTAATTAATTTGCTAAGTTAAGCTGGTAATCTATCTTTTGCGGCAGCTGTGCATATGCAGTTCCTTGTATGTATGTATGTAGGAAAGCGAAAATCCTACACTGTCTCCGGCTACATCAACCAGCCTAAGGAATTTCCGAAGGCTAGGATACAGCTCAGAGGTGTGTTCCTGATGCCATCTGTGGTCGGCCATTCCTCTCCGAAGTCTCTCATTCTGAGGTCTTGCAGAGTGGGGTTGGATCTGACAATAACGTCAGCGGCAAGTTGTATGGCGATTAACTCCGCCTGTATGACGGTGGTACTTATACCTAAAGGTTCAGATACGTGGAGTCGGAGATCGTACGAGAAGACTCCGGCTCCAGCTCCTTCCCGTCTCTTTGAACCATCAGTGTAGATTTTAAGGCTGTTTTTTACCTCTACTTCTGTGGAGCTTGGGTGGGTGAGATATTTCTTCGTAAAAATGTGTTGTAGGGGTGTAAAGTCCGTTACACACTCCAGAATTGGTGAGTAATCCACCATTTCATTCCAGAGATTGGCATTTTTACTATTTCTCTCACCCATTAGAATTCCTGCTGCTCGCAGTCGAGTCATGGTCACCAATGCCACCTCTTGGATGAACAAATGAAGTGGCGTTAGGTTTAACATGTTTTCCATAGCTGCAGTGGGGGTAGTCCGCAGCGCACCTGTAACATACAAACACGCAAGTCTCTGTACTTTATTAAGTGCAGTAGTGGATGTAGACTGTAGGGTCTTTGACCACCATACTACTGCACCATAAGTAAGCATAGGTCGGATTACAGCCGTGTAAATCCAGAGGGCATTTCTGGGTGACAAACCCCATGTCTTACCTATAGCCCTCCGGCATTGACCGAATGCAACGTACGCTTTTTTTACTCTATTATCCATTTCATGTCATTTTATCGTCAAGTGTGATGCCCAGATATTTAACTTCTTTTGACAATACCAATGGAGTATCAGCAAGGGATGGCATTCTGGGATTGCCAACCTTCCTCATCCGTGTGAAAAGAATCAACTCTGTCTTCTTAGGATTTACAGAGAGTCTTTGTTCGTCACACCAAGTCTCTATCAGTTTGAGAGCTACTTGCATCCTGTCAAACAGCACGTTTATATACTTGCCTTTGACGAGAATGGTTAAATCATCTGCGTAACCAACTGTGATAAAGTTGGCTTCGGCGAGGCGGTTCAAGAGGCTATCCAGGGTGAGGTTCCACAAAAGTGGGGTAAGTCACCCCCTTGTGGACAGCCTCGAGTAACTCCTCCTTGAAGACTGACATCGCCAGCCCTAAGCTTAACTATCCTATGTTTAAGAGTGTTCTCAATCCAACCACAAAGAGTCGGTGGAACATTATGCTCTAACAAGGCATCGTTAATACCAGAAAAAGTTGTTTTATCAAAAGCTCCCTCTATATCTACGAAAATCCCCAGGGCGGACTCCTTTAGGTCCAGCGCCCCACCAACAAAGCTGGTCACTGAGTGAAGAGCCGTTAGTGTGGACTTGCCCTGAGTGTAAGCGTGTTGATTAGGATTTACTGGTTTAGTTGGAAGACAGAAATCTCTAATATAGCGATCACACAGTCTCTCCAGAGTTTTCAAAAGAAAGGAGGAGAGACTGATTGGTCTAAACGATTTCGGTGTGAAATAATCAAGCTTACCCGGTTTTGGTATGAAGTTCACTGTGACCTCACGCCATCGACTGGGTATATAGCGCAGCGCCAGGCATGCTTGGAAGATTTCCACCAGGTGAGGTACTAAATCCTCCAGACCCCATTGTAAAAGGGCTGGTATAATACCATCTGGTCCTGGTGTCTTGAACGGCGAGAAACGGTTGATGATGCAGTCCCTTATTTACTATTCGTTTTTTTGGGAAATAATTAACAAAATTTTGCAAATATCGAGTTATCTGAGTAAGACCCTTCGGGGCCGTATGTAATGGACTTTTGAAACTATTTTAATGGATCCGCTAAATTGCCGGACGAACGTACAAAAATAAAACCTGCATGGGAGGTTCTCCATTAAAGTGGTCTTCGAGACAAAGGTGGAAGCTTAGAAGTAGGCTTATCTAGAGAAATTTCGAGGCTTCACGTTAAACATCGCGTCGGTACTCTAGAAAATTAAACGGGACCCGACCGTTTTGCCGTTTCACCCATTACACCTCTAAGGACTTGTTTATAAAGCGTCTCGAAGAAAATCAATCCCCGACGTAGCGTTTCTTAAGTAAATTGAGGCTTTCACGAACATCATTATAACAGATTAACCGCGTAACTCCGGGGAAAGATTACAGCGTAGTACTTAAATATTTAAACCTTCAAGGATTTCCTTATTGTATCATTAAACTTAATCTTGTGTTAGTTTATGTTTTGCCACAAGATGAAACAAAATTCAATAAAAAAGTCTAATTGGCGTGTAAGTAATCGAAATCAAGTTGTTTTCGCTAGATTAAGCAGCTTTGCCACAAATTCTAAAATCTTATAACTTTCCGGCAATTTGCACTTTAAATTTATATGGAATATTGGTAGTGGAAAAATTCAATAATACCACCACCCAGTTGTCAAGTCACGTTGCAATGCATCGGAGCGAAGAAAATTGCCCTATAAGAGATTTTGAATATCGTTTCATTCATAGAAGGTGCCACGTACAGACAAACAAAATTCCTTTTTAACGTTTCTCCTGCCAAAGAAAACTATTTCTCAAAAACGTGACGTAATTCAAAAGTTAACTAGAAATTTACATCGTTTTTGTTGAGGTAATTTCGATTTAATATCTATTTATTACTTTCTAACCGTGGTTTCCAATTTCAAGTAAAAGTAAATTATTGCCATCTAAAATAAGAATTTGGTGTTCGCCACACTAATAATTTAGCGTAACAGCCACCTGTATCGGAAGCTGAGCTGTAGGGTTGATTTATGAGAAATATGAATTGAGGGTAGCAGGAGAAATAGTTTCGGCTACTTCAACTACTACCGACCGTGAAATAAAACCACAAGATAAGGTAGCAAGAATTTACAGCAATGGTGTCTCGGAGAAGTTTGAAGTGGGATTTATTTTTACGGTCCACGGACTAGGAGAGAATTTCTTTCGGTCCTCTAATCCCGAGCCTCACAGTTCGCTCCTTTAAGGTATTCATATCGGGACGTTAAGATCACATATTTGCGACGTTGCGTCGTCGGGTCGGATTCCGGAAGGATTGACAAATAAAAGACGGCACAAACTATAATGGAACTTTGCGTATAGGAATGCCAACCTTTGTCGGGTTCCTTCTCAAACTTTAGCTATGCTAACTATTTCTGACAGAGGGCGCTCGAAGTTTCCCCGCACGTACACCGACTATCATTAAAATCTGTTCAGGTGGGAGCAATTTAGAAGATACTCGTAAACAGTGTTAACTAAATCACACTTTCAAACAACTTCCCCATCTAAACTAAACACCACCACGCGGCAGCGCACGTCATTCACACCATTACCGCTGCATACCTCCTGACTTCTCCAACTTATACCCATTTCTAACTTTTTTTCTATTCTTTTTGCAGGCTACAACACGTACACTTACAACGAATCTGCCCACACCGAAAGAATTCCGGATGAAATATTGTCTGTCCGTTACGAAGACGGCAAATGGTCGAAACCCTATTTCGACTGTGGTGGAGGCAACATATGGATGCTCACATATACTGTCCCCTTCTTCGGCTATCAAAACAACACATATTTCTTCAAGTAAGTTTTAATTTCTATCGGAAAAGATAAACTCATTTAAAAGTACCTATACTTTTATTACTTTATACTTTTTCTATCTAATTGATATTCGGCTGATGATGAGCTTTGTAACTCGAAATCGGTCATTAAAAAAATTTAAAAAGCATGTGAGCAAGCTGTTATAGAGCGATTATTACATTATCGTGTGAGATAATCAAGAAACTTTTTGACTAATCAAATAGTTCACATAATTTCTCGTTGACTATGTGCCGTAATTTATTGTTAAATTTCTTCAAATTAACGTTCTTAACATTGTTGATCATAAATGAAATAAATAATAACTATTAACGAGCTATATAACTGTGTCATTATATATTAGTTCCACAAACTCTCAACTTTCTCAATACGAAGCCACTTTTTTCTGGCAAGTTGCCAACCTTATAATGTAACCACAGCTTACTTTAAATGAGAATTTATATGAAGGCGCGATATAATGTGATCAAACCATGTTTTATCAATATATTGCATAACACATATTATATATAAATATATATAAAATTTGTTTGATGTTTTATATTGATGTGTAGTGGTAGATAAAATTCACGTTTAATTTTTACCTTTGACTTGAACCCCTCTGGATAGTAGTTTGTAGAGGTATCGTGATACTTTGAATAATATTTGCATTACTCAACGTCCGAAGGACTCACTCACGCCACCAAGACGTTGCACTTTATTTCGCAGTGAGGCGTTATATTTCGGGGAACTTTACAAAAGTCCCTTGGGTTATTTTAGATACGCTATTTTCATCGGTCAAATTTTACTAGAAACTTTTCATGTCATCGCAAATTTTAACATAGCTTACATTTGATAAATGTATATATTGAAAATGTGATTTGTATTCTGTCATTATTAGAAACAATGGAAAAGGGTAAAATTCAAATACATGCGGGATGATTGTAGGAAACTTTGGAAGGTATCACAATGAGTGGCTTAAATGAATTGGACCGGGCAACTGGCCTTCCAATTTTAACCCTTAATCCTAAGGACTTTCCATGTTTCCAAGGGATCGACAATTTAGAGATGAGGGTAGAGTTGGTCGAAATAGCGTAAACTCCGATACGCGAGGGGAAGAAAAAAAAAAGTGAAATGTCGCGAGAAAAATCGATACCGATAGGTTCAGTGGTAAATCGTACGAATAACATGAATCGTGCTATTTATGATGTTAGCGCAAGCCGCCCAAAGTCGTATTATCGATTGGATCGTGCCCCGAGGCTCTACAATTTACTCCGAATGCATTTTCCACGAAATATCCTCGAAGGAATGCATCCATTGGTTTCTTTTCTATGCGAACGAGACGGCGAAACAAGCTATACATGACCTTGACGTCAGCGAGAAAATTCCGCGGTGATATTCAAGCAAGATTCGTAGTTCGCAAGTTTTTAATGCTTCCCTTTGTGCCAGCAGATTTACGCCCTGCCAACTATTTTAATGGACTGGCGCGCTATATGTAAATGCAATTGTTAACAAATTTAAGGCGGGGAAAGTTCCAATCGTTACTTAGAGGAAAAACTTCTTAAACGAAGATAATGTAATAAGGTTATCCAACAAATTTCTAAGGTTTGCCGAACTTTACTAATAAGATTACGATTGAAAAATATTTTTATTTCTATTCCCATTCGAAGCTGAAAACGGGAGTTTTTCAAAATTCAGTTCGTGAAAGCGATCCGCTTTTATGAGTTACGCCAACCTCGTCAATCAACTTTTATTATCGCTGTAAAGGACCGTGCGATTTTTACCGGAAATCCCTGTATAAAAGTGGTGAGCATGTAAACTAATTTTACCCGGTTAGGATGCTTTTACCCCAAAACGACATTTTAAATCAGTTCAACAGTATCAAGGCAACAATGCGCTCGACCCTAATTGCTAGTTGCGGTCCAAATGAGTTATCCAAACGTTTGCCCAGCGTTATCTATGATTTAAACCGAATAGAAACAATCGCTGCCGCATTTGGAAAATCCCGACATCAAAACGGATGCTGTTTCGTGGGTGATTAATTATCACGCTTTGTCTTCGAAATGTATTATCTTTCAGATCGATAACCCCTTCTTCGCTTATGCAGTGACACGCGCGACGACTTTTATTGCGTTACTAAAACCGACCTGGTTCGTATAACATCATGACTGCTATAAACTCATCTGCCCTAAACGAGAAACTGCCCCACGCTTCGCCGCACTAATTTCTGTCCTGCGATACAAAAATTATCTTGTTTTTCCCCTCTCAACGAAAACTCGTTTAGTTCCTCTTGGATTATTTAAAATGACTAAAAAAAATTTTAATTTAGTCTTATCTTAAAAATTTTATTCTTAAACTTTACTCATGTAACCCATTTACTATCAATTTGTCAATGAAGTGACAATGTTGAAGATGGTGTGGATCAATTAGACATCCACCTTCATCGCATATGACTGTTCTAAGCAAGTTCCCACAAGTTTGCTCCAGTTGAACACCTTAATTCTATTAGAATTATAATTAACCCTAAAGTTTGGAAGTAAGGGGTTTTAAAGTCCGTCCCTCGGTTTCTCGCTGGTGAAGCTATTGTACGCTAGGGATATCGACGTAAAGTTATGTAGACGTTGTAAAGATTTAAACTTGTTGATAGTCAGAATATTAAAATAAACGCATGTATTGAATTTTGTGTGGGTTTGAAATTGGCTGTAAATGACAAAAAAAAATTGACGGGTGAAATAGGCTGCAAGTAAACGCGTTGTTGCCGCTGACAGGTTGACGTGGACGACAATAGATGCAAAAATGTATCGTCGGGATGATCTGTGACATTAAGGCCTTCGTTCGGCGTCGCGACGCCTCTATAATCTCGAAAGTAATATTTATCACCCTCATATTTTACAACGTGTCATACCGCTATTCGTTAATCGCGCCTGGTGACCCGCATTTTTCGTTACCGGAAGTGCCATTTCCTGTAATTGAGAAACATTTCCTACACGTTTTTACTATGCTTATTTTTTGAAAGATTTTTTAAAGTAAGCGTTTCAATTAATTAAGATTAAAAATTTATATTATTAAGCAATACATTATCAGGTTATGGTTATATCAGATGTGTTATTTCGTTGCTTTGTAACGAAGCTTGTATTTTTGATGTTGGGCACACTTGTTATGATGCTAACATGTTTTAGTTCGCCCACCGTAACGAATGCACCAATTAATAATAATAATAATAATAATAACTTGGCTTTATTAATAAAAAAAAATAATGACAATAATTATACAAAAGCAATACGTAGGGCGGAGATAGGAATCAAGTTCCTCTCTGCCACTCAACCCTACAAACAAACAAAAAAAAAAAAATTAAGTATTAATAAAATAGAACAAAAGAAAAATTAAAATTAAGAAAAAAAAAAAATCAATGTTTACGAAATTAACAATATTAAACAAATCAAAAATAATAAAAAAAAAAAAAAAAAANAAGTCTCTATAAGTTCGAAATGTAGGAACAGGCTTTGTACTAGCAGTTTTCAAATGAGAGTGTACCAGTTCGTGATCTGAAAGGTGGGGTAGTGAATATAAACCAACCAGGGTGAATTCTTCACATGAACATGCAGTAATATCTATTAAAGTTTCGGAATTAAGTGTAATACGGGTTGGTTGATTAACAAGTTGAACCAGACCAAACGACTCCAGCAAATCAAGGAAAATGCGTGAATATGTACTTTCAGGGTGCAACAAATCAATATTTATATCACCGGCAATAAATAGTTCATTACATTGTGGTATAGCTAAACTTAAGGATTCCTCGAGAGACTCAAAGAATAATGGCAGACTTCCGGTCGGGGGCCTGTACATTACACCAAAAATATATTTAACTTTGTTAATAGTTACAGCGATCCATAGCTGTTCTAAATGATCATATGTTTTTATGTTAACCTTGCTGGGTCTATATAAGTTCTTAATATAAATGCCTACACCACCACCTCGCTTACCAGACCTTTGGCGATGTATGAATGTATAATTTTCGATAGAACACACCGCTTCCGTATGTTCATCCGCCAACCAGGTCTCCGTAACCAATACCAGATCAAAATTATTATCAGTAATGTACTCACGAAATTCAGCAATACTAGGCAGCAACGACCTAATGTTAATGGATGCTATATTCATGTTGTGAACAATAATAAAAAAAAAAAATAATAACTACAATTAAATGAAATTTAATGAATTTTAAATGACAAAGATTTAAATATATATATATATATATATAATTACCAGTAGAATAATACTTATTTCTTTTAATTTCTCTTAATCTGTTAAAGTTTTGGGTAAGTTTTCGTCCTGCACATCAACAAATATAAATTTTATTTATAACGATATAGATTTTTGACATAAAAATTACTGTTTGAAATTTGAATTTGAAGATAGTATTTTAATAACATTTGATGTGAACTACTGGATTTAATAAATTTGTAGAGAGGTAATATAATAATATATTAACAGTACCCACATTGTAGAGTAAACAATTAAAAACAATAAACACGCGCGTTCTCTCTAATTATAATATAGCGCATTAAATAGTATTTTCGCATGAAAGGACGTCATAAATAACGCCTCGGGGAAAATATAAAACATAATGAATCGTTTCGCATAATGCCGTTGGAAACGGCAGAAAATCAAATTGTACGGAGTCGAGTTTTTCCTGGGATCGTGAGTCTCGAAACAAAAGAACGGCCAGGGGGGTTATGTGAGGAGATGAAATTAGGAATTATCCCGGAGAAGTTACGAAATGGTACCGAAAAAATGAGCATCGTTAGCCGACCCTTATTAACGTAATCTAAGGTTTTGGTGTAAAAAATTGCGATCCATTTATGGGAGGATATTTTTGTCGCCGAGAAGTGTTCCTCTGGAGATGATGTGGGGGGAATAATAGTCTGTCTACAAGTAGTATCGATTTCTCGCCTTTTCGGTCCCTAAGGTACATAATGTGCCCTGCTATTCGAAATGGAGCGATACAG